AGGACTACCCAAATTTACTTACATGAGTTTTATTTTAAGACTTACGCCAGCTCCTCACTGTGTATAGTAAAGAAAAATAGCTTCATGTTGCCAGAAAGTAATGGAGCCAGGGGCCATTTGAATTATGACAATATGCCCTGATCACAAAAGAAAGTGTAGTGTAGCCAATTTTCCATAGTCATAGGTTCTGTGCCTGTATGCAAAACATGTATCCATATTAAATATGCAGACTCCCTCGATTATTGCCTAAACACTAAAGTATAACAGCTATGTATGAACCACACTTGAGCAGTTGTTATGAAACATTCGGAAATGACTTGCACTATATAAGAGGAGGTGCACAGCTTCCATGTCTACACTGTGTCACTTCAGATGAGGGTTGTGAATATCCACAGGTGGACGTAAGCATGAGTGCTGAAACCCTCCAGTCTCCCTCACCCTGCCCCCACAGATACTGAGCAAAAGAGATTTACCATAACTGAACTGGCCTGAGGAGGAGGAAGCACCAAAACCCAGCTCACTCTAGACTTTGACGTAGAGAAGTGAAATACTCTCTGGTCCCTCCAAGAGAAGATGGAGAAAAGTGCTCTCCTGTTTCTGACAAGTAGATAGGGAAAGTAGCTGTTTAAAAATATACCCTAATGATTAAGCATATAACTCTGTGGCTCAGAGCAGTACTTGCCTAGCATGTACAAAGCCCAGGGTTCTACCCCAGCACTACAAAAACAGTAGCAGCAGCAACAACCCAGTAAAAAAAAAAAAAAAGCCTGTGTTTTAGAGAAACCCTTTCTTGAGAGCTTAGCCTTTACTATCTTTTCAGTTCCTAACCAAGAGTAGAGCTGGTAATCACTGAACTGAGGCTCCCTCTAGACTCTATTGCATGATGGTCCTGAAGCTGAGAAGTACCTCAGAAGACCACAACCCAAGCGCAAAGATCTACTAGGAACAGAATGGTTCCATAGTCTCAGGCTCCTTTCATTAGTACTGGCAGTGTAGGGGCCCCACTCCACATGGCTTCAGTTTCAAGACCTCACTCTGGCAAAAAAGTATTCCTGATTCTACAGTTGAAGATAATTTCAAGATGGCCTAGGGGAAAGCAGAATTGGAGTTTATTAAAAGGCATTTTAACATAGATTTAAGCCCGAGCATAAATAGGAAGAGACATGGTCAGGGGAGGCCTAAGACATTGAAGAGTAGGCATGGGCTTTTCAAGAGAGAGTTGTGCCCTTATTCACTTTTCAATGCTACAACTGTGACGGGATGGCTTCATGGGAATTATTATCTAATGAGTTATTTGTAGCAGAGTCTAAAACTTAAGAGAATTTCCTTTTTTTAAGATAAGACTGTAAGGTGGATTTGTGAGATTTCTTGTTCGGATTTAGAAATAAAGGACATTGCTAAAACTCTATAGATAATAGGTCCTTTGGTCCCAAGTATGCAGTTTGTTGTCTCTGATATCTCTGTTTGAGATACCTTCCATAAAAATACATTATCGCTGGGCACTTTTGTCTTTTTCTCTGGGGTCTGAGGTTCCTGGATTCCATCAGTTGGTATGGAAGCCAACAAGATCCCTGGATGGTAGGGCTTCTTTTCCTTCCCATGTTTACCTTCAAGGTCTATTGACTTTGTGCCTTTGTACATGGCAGTGTGCATGCTGGGCAAGCATTCTCCCAGTGAACTACATCCTCAGTCCTTATTTTACCTCTTATTTGGGGATAGGGTTTCCCCAGATTCATTATGTAGCCTAGTCAAGCCTTGGAATTATGATACAGATTCTGTAATAGCTAGGATTAAAGGCCTGGGTCACAAGGACCTCTGAAAAAGCTAATTCTTTCAAACATCAGTAATTCATTTTGACTCTTCAGAAAACAGAACCAAGCAAGTACTCTCACAGTCATTATGTACCATGGGTGTGGTTGAGCTCCTTTCTTCTAGAGAGCAGGTCTTTTTTCTTGAGAAATATTTGATCATGTTTTACAACATTTGCTCTTTCAACAAGAGCCAGGAAGGATCTTTCTTAATTCTTCTCTGTCAAAAATGGTTTGTCTTGATTGAAAATAAAACCCATAAAAGTGTAGATACACAATGCTAGTACACACAACTTTCTGTAGTCCCATAAAGATGCTATTTTAGTAGTTCCAGGAGATAACAGCACCTGTCACATGTATATTTATTCAAATAAGTTGAGTTTTTCCCCATGTCAAAAGCTGTATATAAATGTTCATAGTATCTTTGTTATTAGTTGTCAAAAGCTAGAAGTAGCAAAATCTTATCTGTAAATGAATAAACAGGATGGTATTTCCATGTCATGAAATATGATACATTAGAGAAAGATGAGTTAGCGAGCCATGGAAGGACATTAAAGAATAGAAAATACATTTGCTTTGAGAAAGAAGGCTGTCTGAAAATGCTATAAACTATGTAATCCCAACTACTGGAACAGAGAAAAAAAACACAGAGACAAGTGAAGAGGTCAGTACATGCCAGGTCTTACAGTGTGTAGGGGATGAAGAATTGGAACACAAAAGAACTCTAGAGAAGATGTAACTATTTTGTGCAATACTACACTTGTGAACCCATAGCATTCTACATTTGCTGAAATCTATAAAGAGTGAAACCTTATGTAAACTTTGAGCTCTAGTTAGTAAACTGCCTGTCTTAGTTGCTTTTTATTATTGCTGTAACAAAACACCTTGGCTAAGGCAACTTAGAATGTATTTAACAAAAAAAAATACTTAATAAGGATTTCAGCAAGTCAGAGTCCATGATGGCAGAGCTGAGAGCTCACATCCTGATCTAAAAGTAGGAGGCTGAGAGAGTCATTGGGAATGGCACAAGTTTAGAACCTCAAAGCCACCCCAGTGGCACACCTCCAACAACAAAGCCACACCTCTTAATCCTTCCCAAACAGTTTCACCAACTGGAGACCAAATATTGAGACTATGGGGAACCATTCTCATTCAAACCACCATCAGTTTTAACAAAAGTCCCATAAAATGATTAATAACAGCAAATCCATGTCAAGGGAAGAGTGGATATGAATATAAAATACTTTTGTATTTCATATCATTCATATATAAGCAAAGTATTTCCATATGTAAGACCTGGTTTGAATGATTGGAAAAGGCTCACATGACCAGTGGACCAAGAGCTTACTGAACAAGAGCATATGGAGAATATCCATATATTATTATTTTTAACCTGAGCTTTTTAAAGATGTTGAGGAGTAATGAAACTTTATAATAGAAATTATGTATTTTAAAAATCTCCCAAAGAAATTAGTGTGGTCAACTGGTTCTGTATAAGGTCTTGGAGATTGCTCACTCTAGGCTGTAGTTGTAAGAGACTGTGGAGCCACAGGCATAACTGGTAGATCACACATTGTGCATGCATGATGCCTGAAATTGGTGTTGAGCATAGTGAGTGATCAGGACAGTTCTCAGTCTCTTGGTTTTGCAGTTGGAAAGATGCAGAAATACAGTAGTGGAGCTTTTATGTGGGTCCTGCTAGCTACCTGCCAGCACCTTCCAGAACTATGAATGCCTGAAAATTCAGAGACTGAGAAAGAAATCTCTACTATATTTGAACCAGTTGTGTGCTGCTTCAGTTAGAAGACAGCCTATGTTAACTAAAGTGACCTGCTTCTTCACTCTGATCCCCAGGAGGGGCAGCACTGAGGATAAAAATGGAAATTTTCAGGTTGACATGTAGATCCTCACAACTGTAGATACATGTTACAGATTGGATATCTCTTGGGCTGTGACCCTGTCATATTTGAAAAAGTTCCTGTTCAACATGTATTTGTGTCCAGACTTTAATACAGTTGCTAACTTTTCCATTGCTCTGGGATCTGGTCTGGAAAGTAATTGTTTCCCAATTCTACCTTGGTTTCCTTCAATCATCTTCTCCACACAAAAGTTACTGTCTCTCTTTATGCTGGAACTTCTCATCAAAGTGTATGAGCCTTGCCTCAATACATTTAATTATTGTCATCTCAGCATTTCCCTGGGTGACCTACTCCATCGTGCAAATATGTTTTCTACTGAAATACAGTTAACCTTAGCAGATTAAAGGTCAATACAGGTGCTCACAGTCTCAGAACTGGTCTGGAAAATGAATACAATACTGAAGCTTACTGGAATACAGCCTGTCCATGTTATTTCTGAAATACTGCTTCCATAGGTACACCATGAGAGATTGCTTTTTCCTGACACGAGTAGAACATAAAACCTGTTCTGATAGAGAGTTGTTTGCCATTAAGGTATTTTAGATACATAATTGTAGATATATAATCATGCATTAAGCCATGTTGATAAGTAAAAGTGTATTCTTTTATTATTAACATTCAAATTCTAATTAACTGAATAACAATATCTGAATTTCCAAAGTAGTCCAAATGTAGACATAACAGAAAATTTGAAGCTTGACTGTGCTATAGCAGTGAGCTCATGCAGAACTACTGGGATGAATTCTTCACATAGCCAAGGTGGGGTTGCAAAGTGGGAATTACATAGAAGCTAATGAATGCCTGTAGCATTCTTTCCTTGCCATGTGTCCCATTTAGGCAGTGAGTGCAGTTTGTCCTGCTTACCACTAGATATGATGGTTACATGTATTCTGTTATGATTATTTATTGTTAAAATACTGAAACATTTCTTAAATCATTCAAAGTGACAGTATCTTTGGTGTACATACACCTTGAGTCAACAATTGTGTATGGTAGGGAGGGGACCTCTTATGAGTCAAGTCCTGCTGGTAAGGTGAGATAAGCCAGAGGGGAATGTTAGAAGATGTCTTGATGAATAGTTTTCACCATTTAGGTATTCAGTCAGAAAGAGGGTCATTATTTGAGTTAAATCCTTGTGAAAGAACTAAATCTTGAGAATCAGCCAGAGTCTCCTGAACTGATGCTGGAATATTTACCTAAGATCAAAGTGCTTTTCCAGAGCCAATCACATGATGCTCACAACTGATGCTTCTGGCATTTTCTCTCTTTCTAGTTCTAACATCATATCCTGTGCTGGCACATGGAAACAAAAAATGCTACAATATACACCACATCTAGCTACAAGGGATTTTGAGGAGTATGGTTCCGAGTTGCAAGATTTTGCAAAATAGTAAATTGCATTTGGCAGGAGTAAAAGCAAAAGGTGACCAAGTCAAATTGCATGCTTGATCTACAGGAATACAGGCAAGTTAACACTTACTAAAATGCATTAGGAAATATATACTTTGTGAATGCAGTATGGCAGCACTTTGTGGGTTAGTTTGGTTTGGTTTGGTATTTGTGTGTTTCTTTTGGGGGTGGAGGGAGGGAGGGAAAGAAGGATAGTGTGTGTGTGTGTGTGTGTGAGAGAGAGAGAGAGAGAGAGAGAGAGAGAGAGAGAGAGAGAAGAGACTTGGGAGGACAAAGAGGTGAGTATCTGGGAGGAGTTGGAGAACACATGTTCAGAATAAAATCATATCTAAATGATGATCAGTAAAGATTCCTTAGATATGACTAGAGTAGATGCCTGATGGGGAATGTACTGTGTATGTTTATCCTATTGATTGTTGAATAAAATACTGTTTGACCAATGAGACAGGAAGTTAGACAGGACTAGAAGTCAAAGAGGATGCTGGGAAATGTAGTAGAGAAGTGCTGATCCAGGAAGGAAGTGACATAGCAAGGAGACTCATATTTAAGTGAAATTTAAGTGAAGGAGAAACAGGAAGGGCCTTCTTTTTCCTCTCCACTCCTGCTCCAGCGGCAAGATGTGATCCACTGGCATGGAAGGACACCAATAAGGCATCCGATAAGATAAGTCTTATAAAATATATAGGTTTATGATAGTTAAGACTGAGATAACAGATGAGAATCCTAGTCATTGGCCATACAGCATTGTACCTAATATAAGTTTCTGTGTATTCATTTGGGCCTAACTCGGGCGGGCGGCTGACGTAAAGCTCACACGTGGCGGTGGGGCTCAGGTGGTTTTGGCAGAAAGATTTATCATAACAGATGCCCATGTCAGCCAGGGCATCTTCACCTTGTCTCATCCCCCTGCCAGCTGAGGAACACACGTAGAGCCTTGGGGAAGAGTTAATGAGTATATAGGCTGGGTAGTCTTTGTCATCAAATTAAGGATTTGTTCTTTCTTTTTAGAGAATGAAACACTGCTGGACTTTAAAGAATTACATACCCTTCTGAGGTATACATTGAATGTAAAGTGTGCTAAAAGATTGTAGAGGCAGCACAAGAGATAGCAGTTCAATGAGTGTTGTAACCCATCTTTGTGGGGCCTTCATTTAGATCCAGCTGGCTTTCCTGGTTTGTTCCTGAGATGGGGAGTGTGGATTGAGAAATGGCTGGTAAGGAAGCTAAGGAAAGACAGAGACACAGAATAGAGTCAGGAGGGCAATCCAGTGGACACTGAACACCCCAAGTTTATTCTTCAACATTCTTAAATACCCTACCCAAAAAAGGGGAACATGGCAAAAGACTTCTTTATCAAGATACAAGGAAGAAACAGACCTTCTTCCTTAATTCTCCAAACATTTGATAATCATGCCTTAGACTAAATTCCTTGTTATCTGACCTTGAGGGTTAAGAGTAACCACATCTCAGAGAAAGTCTCATTGTTTAGATAAGACATCTAGGACCAAGATCAAACATTCTACAGCAGCCACACCTTAGACATTTAGGTCTTATGACTTTAATCTTGGAAGAGTAAGGGTAGTTTTGAACTCTCTGACCTGAAGCCAAGATGAAATGAAGTCATTTTTATGGGCCCTGACAAATGAGGCTAAATGGGCTTAAAATATGTCCACAAAAGTGGGAGTGGAGACAGTGAACAGACCTGGGGCATTGTGATATGCACAATAATCAGTTCCTGGACCTTGGTTCTATTTAGAGGGGGGATTGAGTTATTTATTGGATCTTATTTTTTTAGTTACTTTTCTCCTAACTCTGAGAAATAATTGACTAAGGTCAAGGAGGCAGGTTTTGTTTTGGCCATATTTTAAGGATGGAAGACATGGCAGTGGGAATATGAAGTGTTTGGCCACACTGTATCAGTAGCTGAGAGACAGAGTGAGATGACTTCTGGTACATGGCTTACTTTCTTCTCCTCAAGCAATCCCAGACCCACTCCATGTAATGGTGCTGCCCATATTCTGGGTGAATCTTCCCTGGTCAGTTAAACTCCTCTGGAAACTCCCTCATAGATATACCCAGAGGTGTGTCTCCTAGGTGACTCCAAATTTGAGTCAATTTGACAATAAAGGTTATGAATCAAAAACATATAATTGTCATTATGATTTATAGCTTTTATAGAATACATGAAATCTATAAGAATACCTCTCTGCTGGCTCCAGATGCTTTCCCTGCACTTGTGGAAGGCAGGAACAAAGGAGAAACAGAGAAAGATCTGAAAGAGCACAAACTTTATATTGTAGGAGATTTCTTGGAACTCGCACACCACACTCACAGGGAACACTTTTTCCCTCTTGGTTATGTAGACACACAGAACTGACAGTGAAATGGTAAATCTGATATTTTACTGAGTGACAAGTTGCTATAAAAATAATGGTGTTCATAATGAAGAAGGCTGGTATGTTGGCACAAGGACATATGAGTCAAGAAAGAGAGCAGATGGGAGGTGGGATGGGAGGAAGGGGGGGAAAGCTGGAGGACAGGAGGGAGGAGGATCTGGGATTGCAATTAAGGAATAAATAAATAAATAAATAAATAAATAAATAAATAAATAAATAAATAAATAAATAAATAAATAAATAAATAAATAAATAAATAAATAAATAAATAAATAAATAAATAAATAAATAAATAAATAAATAAATAAATAAATAAACTTGAAATTGGGTCTCTCTCTGTTAAAAGAAAGACTCCACCTAGAAGATATGAAAAGCATTTGGGAGAAAGTAAGTGTTCAAAGCTCTCTTATTTTACAGAGTTATGTAACCAAAAATACCTGAGATTGGTCATTTATAAGGACTGAAGTGTTTTGTCACAGTTCTGAAGGCTGGACCTTCCAAGGTAAGATGGCTTTAATGACCAGTCACCTGGGGAATGGTTAATTTTGTCACAAGAGATAACTGATGGCTGTGTCCACTGATAGGAAACAGTGGTGAATACTCATCTGGCAGTTTGGATGGAAGGAACTGGAGGTCAAGACTCTTTTATGAGGATATGTCTTCCTATTCATGAGCTCAGAGTCATCATAACTCATTTCCCCCCTGACGGCCACATTGCCCGATGTTTCAGTTTCCATATGAATTTTGCAGGGGAAAATAAAATGGTCAAATATTAATAGAAGCCTTGCAGCAGCAATGTATCCTTCCCTTGTGAAACCTCTTGAGATGAGAGGTGACCATCAAACAGAAAGCTGACAGATGTTTGGGAGAATGGTGTGCTGGAGATTTATAACCTCCTGGCAGGGCAGTGTGTCACAAATATAATACCCCACAACCCCTTATCAACAAAACAGCAACCCAAACCTGAAAGCTTTGTTTGTCTCTTTGCTGGAAAGAAAGAAATTATCATTGAGTCTCAGCATGGCTCCAGAAAAAGGAGAGAGAACCAGGGCCTTAAAGCAGGAGGTAAGATGTATCAGTAAGTTGTGGTATAAAATTCCTTTCATGAGGGTAGAGGAAAAACCCCATAGTAATTTGGAGTATGAGTCAGATAATCGAAATGTGGATGGTGAGGGCGTGGAAGCCTACTAAGCATGGCTAGAAGGAGCAGGGTGCAGACTGTGGTCAGGGCTCAGGCTGGAGGAGTGCGTCAGCCTGGAGTCTACCCCAGCTTCACAGGACACCATCTTCATGGCACACTGGCTATATCCATTCCTAGAGGTTTCAGAGATAGACTGGAGCAATCTCCCTCCCCATGTGTCTTTCTCCTCCCCACCTTCTCCCCTTTCCTTTCTTCATTCCCTACATGGCTCCTTCCTTCCCTTTCTTTCTTTCTGGTATCTAGGCTTCTCCCTGTTTTTCTTAGTCACATGTGTAAGCTGTAGTTTTGAGAAGAATATATGGTTGGGTTGAAGATGAACATAGATTTGTCTTAAGTTTTCTGTGTCTGTTTGAGCATAGAGGCCAAATCCAAATGAAGCTAAGAAAAGAAAATTCTCGTTTTGTAAGGCTACTGTTGGGACTTGCTGAGACTCAACTGTCCTAATCCATCAAATGGGTATCCTCATTAGTATCATGTAGAAATGTATTTCTTCCTAACATTTTATTACATAAAATTCAGGTATCCACAAAAAAGCTAGGGAAAGTCATGGTGAAGATGAATGTACCAAACATCTGAGTTCTACTATGAATATTTTAGTGTAGGGCTCTGTTCAAATGTCTATGCACTCATTCACTCTACCATCAGTCCATAAGCATTCCTGGCTTTTGATAAACTTTGAAGAAAATTATAGATATCAACATAATTTCTCTTAAATATTTACTCCAGCAGACACAAAGTTTTATATTTTATATAAAATAAACATAAAATGGCACACTAATCTATTAGGTGTAGAGACTCTGAATTTTGGAAATGTCTACACCTGAGTAACTTGAGTTCCACACTGGGCTATAAAACAAGAGTCAGCAAATTTTCTTCTTAAATTCCCCAAAGTTTGTATATTTTTGCTGTGGGTTACATAAAACTCGTGTTTATATTCATCATTCAGTTGCTTGCTGGCATTGAAAATATGAAAGTCATTGATAGTTTGTGGGCCACATAAATGAAATTCTTGAGTGTGGTTTCTCATCTGGGGCTCCATTTAGCATTCTTTCCTTCCCCAAACACCCATAACCTCATTGTTTTTATACTTTATATTTTATACATGTAACCTAATTATTCTTCAGTCAGTCTATCAAATTTGATTTCTATTCAAAGGGGAAACATCCTTTATATCTTTCCAATTATTCTTTCTGTACTCTTCCACAGTGGCCAATTATAGTTTGAAAATTAAAAAAAGCCATTTGAGGTCCCAGAAGAGAAACAGCTACAGCGATAGGAGGTGGCCTCATTCACTTGTAATATTGGGTTATTTACCAGGAATGATAATGGTAATGCTACTTCCTCTGGATTAACACACTGATTTCCCTAATAAGAATGAGAGTGGGAATAACTGTGAGTAATTTGGCTTTCCTTTTCCATGTAACTTTGTTTCTTCCATTGCTGTTTTTATTAGTTGGCTATTACTGATAATCCCCAGTTTAATGATTTGGACAAAACCTAGTCTAATATCCCATTGCTTCTGTGGAACTAGGTTGAGGATGGCTTTCTGCTCCAGAGTTTGTTACCTAATTGCAAGCCATGAACCAAGATGACTGACAACCTGGGGGCTCCAAAATGCAACTTCTATGCTCACTTTTGTGGTTGGTGCAGCATTGGTTTATTTTTGGTCAAGAGGACAGGATTATCCTTGTCCTCTTGATTTGATTAAAAGGTACAAGATCATTGGAACGAATCTATCTTAGAATTTGTTGTCAACAGCATTTTATTTTTAACCACAACTGAAGAAAACCACCTTGGAAGCCAGATACCAGTTTCCAGTAGTCAGGAAATTGAAATAATAGGATTCCTGCTTAATTTCTGTTTTGTTTCCTATTTGTTTGTTTCATTGTTTTTGTTTTTGATATGTGTGTGTGTGTGTGTGTGTGTGTGTGTGTGTGTGTGTGTGTGTGTTTAAATAAAATATCCTTGGGAAAAAGCAATTTAAAGATTTAAAGACAGGTTATTCAGCTTGTAATTTCAGGTTATAGTCCATCATTGTGGGGAAGTCTATACAGACACTTAAAGCAACTAAGTACATCTACAATCAAGATCTGATAGGAAAATAAATGCATGCATCCCTAATTATTCTGCTAGCTAGGCCCTCAAAATGGTGTCCTCCATATTCAGGGTGTGTATTCTCACCTTAAGCCAATTAAGAAAACATTCCCATACAGGCATGCTCATAGCCAAACACAATCTAGGCAATCAATCATTGAGGCTGTCTTTTCAGGTGATTCTAAATCATTGAACGTTGACAATTAAAACTGATCATCATAATTCCATCCTTTGTCATCCTGACATATAAACACATCGATTTTTAAATCATAACATTCAATTTTGTCCCCAGAGTCTCATAATTGTTTGTCTCATATTGTAAAATATGATCTACTTAAAAGGTCTTCCACAATTTTTCCCCAGAGTTTTTCTTTTATTTACAATAGACTCACTTTTCATACAATATACTCTGATTATAGTTTTCATTCCCCCACCTCCACCAAGATATTTCCCACCTCACCTCCCATCCAAATCCATACCCTTTCTGTTTCTCTTTAGAAAATGAATAGGGATCTGAATAGTAATAATAAAACAAACAAACAAAAAAACTCAAAATAGAATAGGACAAGAACAAACAAACAGAAGAGCCAAAGGAAAAAGCACAAAAACCCCATATAGATTCAGAGACACATTTATGTTTACATACAGGAATCCCATAAAAACATAAAACCAGAAGTATAAATATAGTAAATATGCAAAGGAACTATAAGGTAAAAAACAAAACCTAACAAAAAACCCAAGCAAACAAAACAAAAACCAAACAACAAATCCAAAAGGGCCCTTACTAAATATTATGTAATGGAGAACCTCTTAAGACATCATTGAGTTTGTATTACATTTGACCATCTACCACTGGGCATGACCCCAAAGCTTGAGGGTGATTTTCATCCCCAGTGAGACTGTGTTGGAAAGAACTGATTTTTCATTTGCTAGTGGATATCAAGTAGATATAGCATCAAGTTTTAGGGGTAGGGGGTGGTGTTCATTTCTTCTCTCCATGCTGGGGCCCCATCTGATCTTGTGCATACTGCAACAGTTTCTGTGTGTTGTTTCTGCTGTGTTTAGTGGGTCTTGTTTCCTTTGTGTCTTCCAAAACTTTGGGCTCTTACGATCTTTCAGTTTTCTCTTCTGTGGAGTTCCCTGAGCCCCAAGTGAATGGATATGGTGGAAACATCCCCTTTAGGATGGAGTATTCCAAGTTCTCTCACTCTGCCCTTTGTCCAGCTGTGGGTCTTTGCATTTGTTTCCATATGCTACTCGGTGAGGTTTCTCTGATGAGGACTAAGCAAAAACGCAGGTGTTATATAGCAGAGTGTTGTTAGGAGTAATTTTATGGCTACATTCCTTTAAAAAAACAGTAGAAAAAAAATTTGGTTTTCCCCAGATCCTTGGCCTATCTTGTCTCTGGGTCTTGACCAATTAAGCAGTGTTGGGTACAGGTTCCAACCTATGGAGTGGATCTTAAATCCAATAAGATAGTGGTTGGTTATTCCAACAAGCTTTTTGCCCACTATTGCAATAGCTCATCTTGCAGACAGGTCATCATTGTAGATTGGAGTTTTTAGCTAAGTTGTTGGTTACCTTTTCCTTTGGTAGTGTGCAAGAGTACCTTCAAATACTATGAACACTAGGCATAGGGATGAAGGCTTTAGGTGGGCACCAGCCAGACTTTTCTCTGCTCAATGAATTATGTAGATGTCATTAGGAGTAGGGCCTTACAGTCAGTTTGTGGAGAGTCATCTTGGCAATAGCCTCAGTTGTTTGGGGGGTTTCCATGGGGTCCCTTTGGCCAACAACTCAATTCGTTTTAAGCCATTCTTGGTAGTGTAAACTTGATTTGGTGATGGGAGATGTATAGTTGGACCTCTATATTTCCTTTTATTTGGGAATTTAATTCAGATAACCTTCATACATGTATATACTTTGGGAAGCTTTTCTTGTGCAATTTTCCTTATGACTCCCTGTCTTAGTTTGGGTTTTCATTGCTGTGATGAGACAACATAACCACAGAAACTCTTATAAAGAAAACATTTAATTGGGGTGGCTTGCAGTTTTCAGAGCTTCAGTCTATTATCATCATGACTGGGAGCATGGTGGCATTCAGGGGATGTGGCTTGGTGGTAGTATACTTGACCTGCTTGTGTAAAACTGGATTAAAACCCCAGCTCTACAATAGCAACAGAATCAAATAATAGAACAAAATAATA